ACACACACACACACACACACTTACTTAAATGTGGTACATTAAGACACACTGATATCTGGGATGATGAGATTGTGGTTTGGAACTTCAGTGCAATAGCCCAGGTGCCCCACTGGTAATATGGAATCAGGGCATATAGTAGCAGATTTGAATGACCATATTTATTTGGAAATTATTTAGGCAGGAGGCATTCTTATCATGACCTTACACTGTTAAATTGATGTGCTACTTACAACTGGCCAGGATGGACAGTCCTAACCCTTCACCATGTCCCACACAGAGCATCTGCCCCCCATGGGACACCTAGACCCTCCTGTCATGGTCCCATCTCTGTCCTGAGCTGTCCATGCTGACTGTGTGGACATCCTGGTGCACGTGTGCTTGGAGTTGATTGAGAATTATAAAATTATGACTTGTGGTTTCCTGTGTGAGCCATTTAATTCAAATGCATTTTGTACAGGAATATTTCCAAATTAATCAGTGGATTCTCTCAGCACAGAAAAACAAACAATAGCAACACCACAATTCCCTAAAATAAGCAAGAAAGACCAAAGAAATCTCCAAAGAAATGTAGAGTCAAGTATTTCCTGGATATTACATCAAAATCATATACTTATTTTTGATGTTATTCCTTTCATATTAAATTCATATATTGTTTTTTCTTCTCTGTGAAGTAACATCCATTCCTTCAACATAATAAATCAACTTTCATATATAAATCATTGGTGTAAATGTTCTTGATAAAACTGTTGTTTCCCCCAAATATTCCTAATTTTAAAAATATAGTTTTAACCTAAGGACATCAGTCTTAATAGGAGAGTTACTGTGTTACTATTCCACATAACACATGAGGCACCAAAATGTTTGTACAAACCAGGTACCTGAACTCACATCCATATAACCTGAGTTCAATGTTTTGTCTCACTGGTTCCCTGCCCCTGAAATGTTCTTCACTCATTGGGTACAGAATAAACACAACCTGTCTTTACAGATTCATTACTGATCTCATTTTGTGATATATTTATGACAATAACACAAGATCAATGTCAGAAATTTTGTAACAGTATGAAAGCGTAAAAAAAGATATCAGTTTAAACCACACTCTATGTCGGAGATATTCCCACTTAAAGTTAAAGTGTGCCTTCATTATGCTTTGACTTTTGTTCATGTAACTCAAGGTACTTAAGTGACAAATACAGTAGAACCCCTGTAAGTGACCACCCAAGGGACAGACAGAAACTGTCAGCATATGGACGTGGTCACCATAAGGAGTGAGGGCTACTGTGCTGACATGAAGTGTGGTGCATGTCCAGTCTGTGAAAATGAGGTCAATTTAAGGAGGTGGTCAGTGCAGGGAGGTGGTCAGCTGGGGAGGTTCTTCTGTATGTAGAACATTTTAATCTTGTTGGATGTACCTTTTTGTCCAGTGAAGAAACATTATGATCTTGTTCTCTTTATCATTTTGCCCCTGGATTTCCAACTAAACTTGCATTAGGGCTGACTATTTATTTATTTATTTAGATTTTGTTTATTGGTACAAAAGAGTGTTGATTGAATGTATACAACAGAGAGGAGGTGCAAGTGGCTGGGGCCATGGAGCCGCCAGTAAGATAGAATGTCCTTAAATAAAGTGTTCCCAGAGGAAAACCCAGAACCTCCAGCCCTTCCCTCCACACAGCAGAGCACAGGCACAAAGCCTGGATGTACCCAGGGAACAGGGAGGAGGTTGTCAGGGGTGCAGAGGCTCCCAGGCTGCTGTGTAGAGGGGGAACTCTCTTTGGAATGGGCTGAATAAAGCCCCCCAGGTCCCCCTGCACACCTCCTACCTACTGCAAAGGAAAAAGGAGAAAGACAAAAC